AAGCATAAATGTGTTATGATGATGTCTGTATCTTATGCAACATCTGTGTTTTTTTTTTGCCAACACGTTTCATTTATCTATGTCCTCCACATGCTCCTCCTGTTGCCTACCATGAATATTATGGACAACAGCTCATAAATCCTCAAGACTCTCCTGTAAGAATCCACATATAGTGACATGCAAACTTTGGACCCAGGGTTACTAACCTAACCTGTCTGCGCTCTCCTATGTGACCGTGACTAAAGCACTCTTTATCAAGAAGCTAAGCCTTCCTCATGTGGCAGCTTTGTGAAACAGTCTCTTTCTTCCATCTGTAAGGCTTGGCAGGTGTGAATTAGTTGTTCAGCATTGAGCATGTGATTTAAAGCTTGGCTTATGTGATGGATAATCTTGATTACTGTGATGGCTGGATTGATAATGTCCTCGATAGACCCACGCATTTGAATGCTTAGTCACCAGGGAATGAAAGTCTTTTGGGAAGAATTAGAAGGTGTGGTCTTGATGGAGGAGGTGTGTCACTGGGATGGGCCTAGAGGTTTCAAAAACTTCATCAGTCCAACCTCTCTGTCTCTGTCTCTCTCTGTCTCTTTCTGTCTCTCTGTCTCTGTCTCTGTCTCTCTCTCTCTCTCTCTCTCTCTCTCTCTCTCTCTTTCTCTCTCTCTCTGTCTCCCTGTGGATCAGGATGTAAAGCTCTCAGGCACTCCAGCAAGGCCATTCCTGTGTGCTTTTTGCCATGCTGAACATGGACTGATTCTGTAATCAAGTGCTTTCTTTTGTAAGAACTGCCTTTTTCTGTAGATTAGCTCATGGAAAATCATGAACTCTACACCAATAGCTGTGGAGCATCCATGGGACCAAACAAGGTTCTCTGCATGTGGCACACAGTTTGTAGCTTGGTCTATTTGAGGGGATCCTGGCAGGTAGAGCAGGTTCTATTCCTGGTACATAACCTAGCCTCTTGGAGCCCATTTGCTATGGTGGGACGTCCTGCTCTGCCTTGATGCAATGGGAAGGAGCTTGGTCCTGCCTTAATTTAATGTGCCAGGCTTTGTTGACTGTCCATGGGTGCCTTGCCCTTAGGGAGGAGTGGATGAGGAGTGGGCAGTTGGGGGGGGTGTTGATAGGGGTGGGAAGGTGGGAAAAGTGGGGTGGGAGGGAGAACTGTGGTTGGAATGTAAAATGAATAATTAATAAGTAAGTAAGTGTTGCCTTGATCATGGTGTGTCTTCACAACAACAGTACAGTAGTAAAGCCAGTGACCATCTTGATTGAGAGATGCCTAGAAAATCCAAGTTTGTTGTGAGGTCATTTCAGAGATGCCTGTCATGAGGATCATTGAAGTGAGAAGAAAGACCTGTCCTGAGCAGGGCTGATAGCATCCAGTTGGTCGGCCTTTGGCTCTTGGTAAGCCTGACTCTTCCTGAGCCCCTGTGACTGTGTTGTTGTGTCTGCTCATGACCTTCACAGTCTACCTCTCTCCATCCCTGCAGGAGACTTCCAGATATTCAGGCACAGGATGCTTCCTAAGTCCTTTTTTATTGCTAGACTTTCAGGTTTTTTGGACTTGGAAGCCACTAGTTACCTATTTCTCTTCCTCTCCAAGTTGCCAAGGGCATTTTGTCATCGTGACCTGTGACTTTGTAAATAAAACTAGTAATATTAATACACTGTTGGCAGAGTTGTTCCATGTTGATATCAGAGCTCATGATACCGAAGAAAAACATTCTTTTTCCATTTTTTCCCTTTACTGCTCTCTCTCAATTCTTATTTATCTCTACTAAGGGTCTGTTAACTATGTGAAGTTCTACCCCTGAGTACATCATCATGGGTGCTATAATAAAGCACACTGAGGAAGCCATGGAAGCACAACAATAAACCTAACCCCTACATGGCCTTGCTTCAGTTTCTGCCTCTAGGTTTCTGCCTTGAGTGCCTATTTTGCTTTCCTTCAGTGGTGTACTGTGATAAGGAACCCAAGTGAAATAATCCCTTTTCTCCACAAGTTACTTTTGGTTATGATTTTCATTGCTGCAATAGACAACAAACTAAGACAGGGGATTTTGATGACTGAGGTATATTGGAATTTTGGAATAATCGGTAGGGGAAAACCTACTCCTTTACAGTCATCACCCCAACCTGGGAGGGGGTGCATAAGCTGAAGCCATCACTACCAGGTCTCTCATAGTGTCAGCAAAGGGAACATGTCTTCAAAGATGCACTGTCTGTGCTCATATCTGCTCTTAACCTGGAGATGACAGTCACCCAGGTGAAAAATGTGAATGGTATGACAGCGTTCACCTAGGCCGTGTAACTTGAATGTATGGAATTTAGCTTTTGTTCATTTGTTGGCAAGGACTTCATCAGCAGGCTTGGTTGCCACCCGTGACACTATTGGGAAATGATGGATAATTAAGTAGGTGTCTGCCTAATGTTGGCTATCTGAGCCATGCCCTGATTGGATTTTTGAAATTTGGTTGCTTCCTTTCCCTGCTTCTTGGCCACCATGAGGCAGTCAATTTCTTTATACACGTACTTCCAAAAGATGCTCAGTCATATCTTGGGTGCAGGTCAATTGACTACCGACTGAGACCTCTGAAACTGTGAGTCAAACAAAGCTTCCTCTTATGAAGTTGTTCATCTCAGATACTGCTTCAGGGAGGGAAAATGGACAGTCTGTGCTAAAGGCTACTGATACACTTTCTCTTTCACCAAATAAAAAAAGAAAAAGCCAAACAGAAATATGACCTATGAAGTGAAATAAGAGGGTTGACCTAGAGTATCAAAAGTGGACGTCATTAACCCTGCCTTTATGGTCTATGACATCCCTTGGAAATTACTAATTTAATATTATAAACTTGTAAATACTATATTAATATTACTTATATCAATATAATTATATAAATTGGCATTAATTATATTAATGATTAGAAGATATCTATTAATTTGTTGACTCTAAAAGAGGAGAGCATAAATCAGGAGACCATGGGAATGTGTGAATTAATTTTCTATCTTCTGTGATAACAATAATAATTATATAGTTGGTTATGTTTTCCAAAACAAGAAAAGCTAATATCTACAGGGGTGTTGTCTTTGATTTCTAGAGATGCTGAAGGAAATCAGTTACATGCCAAAGATAGGATTGTGGTAGACAATCCAGACTGTTGTTTTGTCAACTTCTAGGGTATTTCAGATCTGCCTCTTTCGATCCTCATGGCATCTCCAGGTAACTGAATTTCATTCACTTCTATCAGAAAAATTGAAAGCAAAACATTTGGGTTTCCTCTTCCTTTGGATCCTTGCTATTTTTACTGGGATTTCACAGCTATTCCAAAGACTGCAGGTCTTTTACCACTACTGTAACTGGGACTTGTCTGGTAGTTTTAGAGTTCACTAGAGTCATGAGGTGACAGTCCCAGCACACTTTACCAGTTTCATGTGCTTCAATTCTGTTTCTTGGGATCTTAAGCAACACCATATGAAAGCCCAGGTTAAGGTGTATGGCAGAACAAACCAGATTTGCTAAAGCCAGTGATCTGACCTGGAAACTTGTGAGGATATATGTTTCTTGTAAATAATATAGTTTTGGATGTTTTACAGCAAGATTCTCACTAATACATAGGATAGGCGATGAACTCAGGGAATCCTAAAGTGGAAAGGCCTTTTCGTATTGGATTACTAACAACTATGCTACCTTGGTGATTTTCTGAGATAATTTATCTGCTAATGAACCCTCTAATTAAGTAATACAATTCTTAGTACCAGAGTACCAATGAGTCTCTGTGTGTTTCTCTTTTCATTTCAGAACTAGTGTGGATAGGAGAACATTTTTTGTTGTTGTTGTTTCGGTTTTTGTTTTTGGAGACAAGGTTTCTCTGTAGCTTTGTAGCCTGTTTTAGAACTAGCTCTTTTAGATCAGGATGGCCTCAACCTCACAGAGATCTTCCTGCCTCTGCCTCCCAAGTGCTGGGATTAAAGGCATGTGCCACCAACATTTTAAACTGAATGAGACATAAATCACCTATGGGGAAAGATTTTGCAATATGAAGAGAATGCCTATATACAGCCTTCATTTGGCCTAAAGCATCATCTCCCTATGAAAGCCGTGGAGATCGACCAACAGGCTTTTCACCGCAGCTCTAGGAATCAGCACATAACGCACTCATGTGGACTGTATAAAGAGTCTCTTCCAGGCTTTCAGGATCTGATTTAATAACTAAGAATAATTGCTGTATATAAACACATAGTTGAGATTTTGAGTCATAAATCAGAGCTTTGCAATATTTGGTGATCAGGAAGACAGGAGAGATGTCCGCTGTTTTGTCAGCTTTCCTACTACAGTAAAATGTGAAGGATCAGCAAAGCTGACCCCGAAGCACAGGGAAAGGGAAAGAGAACGAGCTGGACGCCATCAGTGAAGTCCACATTTCTGTAGTGCGACTTCTGTGTGGCATTTGTCTCCTGCAGACACGTTAGGAAACACAAGCTTCAGTGTGAGGAAACCCGGTGGACACCGAGCTCTAGCTGCAGCACATTTGTCTACGTCTGTGTCCTTTTCTCTGCAGGGCTCGCTGATTCCTGCTTGGAAGGCTGCAGTGAGGCACATGCTCCAAGGGGCAGCTCTGCTTCATCTCCTGTCCTTCTACTTTCATGATTTTAGGTGTGTGTTGGACACATACTACATACTTGGTACATATTTATCAAACTAAGGAACTGCAGAATTATTTGAAAACGCATGTACAATTCATAGAAACCAACAACTGTAATATACTAGGGCATTTTGTTATGGATTCAACAACTGTAAGGCTACAATATTCATTCACAATTGGCTGGGTAGAAAATACAGGAGAGGATCATCACTACATCGTTTCCCTGATCATGTGGAACAACAGAAATACATCAAACTAGAATTTTTAAGTATGCTTAATATCTTAAAAGACTAAAGATTTACTTGTTTAAGGAGTTCTTCTTTTGAGTAGAACCTAATCCAGTTATGTAAATGACAGTTAAAATTATTGTTTGCTCTTTTCATCGTAGTGAATAGGTAGCCACCCTCCATGCCTCCTCCCCGTCTCATTACGAGTCTGATATATTAACCTTTGAGAGCCTATCACTTAAAAGTAATATGGACATTACACTTTGAAAAGACATCATGTATTCAGTTTTCTTTTTGAAGAGAAGGCAGGGTTTGGATCTCTAGTGCTGTGAAAACCAAAAAAGGGAAGCGAAAATTTCAGTCAGAGGCAAGGGTGAGTTTGAGTGACAGGAGTGGCCTGCAGCTGTGTTCTGTCTGAGAACACTGGCCTGCAAGCAACAGCTCCTTACAGCTGCACTGAGTGTGGCCAAATGGAGATATTCAAATGGGAGTAGAGTTCTCTAGGGAGAAGAGGAGGGAAGGGGTGAGGCAGGATTCTGACCTGTTTCCTCCCCATTACCACTCACCCATTGAGAAAGGCAGAAAGGATTCTCTCTTCTTAAACTGTCCATTCTCCAAAAAATGCTCTGGATTGAAGGTGTCTGGGGTGGCCCACTCTTTGGGATCCCTGTGCAGTGCAGTCAAATTGGTGAGGACCATGGTCCCCTAAAGAAGACAACAAACAGTCAAAGCTGGATACGTGGAAGAAACCCAGACAAGGGATGGGGTTCCCAAACTCCCATTACTTTTCACACAGACAGTTCCATGAAAAATCCTGTCCTTAGTCCAGATCCATGATGGATTGTGTGTCCTTAGGCTGTTCCAAGCCTATCAATCTGCTCTTTATTACAGAATACAGGGCTGTGAGAACAGGCCAGCATATGTCTAGGGAGACAACATGTACCATCCATGGGAAGATAACTGGACATGGGCTTAACAATCATGAGCCTAGCTCCTTCCTACAGGGACATGTAAAGAAGTAACCTGTCTCTGAGGTTAAATGAATGAATTGTATCTGTGTTTACAGAGTAGACTTAAACTTTCCAGGGGAGCAATACATTCTGAGGCACTAAGACAAAGTGTTATAGATCCACAGAGGCCTCCTCTGGCAGACACTCTTGATTCTGGATCCTGGCAATTAATAATTGTCTAGGTGATTACAAAAATCATCACTGAGACTGGCCATGAGGACATTTCTAAAGATCATTAAGTAATGGCAGATGGACTTTCCATGACTATGTGTCACCATTCCCCATGCTCAAGTATTGCGTGGAATAAATGGGGTGGGGGTTAGCCTCCTGCAGGTTTTTTTTTTTCTTTTCCTGACTACCATCATGAGGACTGATCTTCTGAGTCACTTCCTTGTTGTCATGTTGAACTGAAACCTTGGGTATTTATTTTGTCGCTGCCAAGAAGTGTCTGACCTTTTTTCAGTGTACAGCAAACAGAAAGAACAGAAAAAATTGTGCCTTGAACAGAAGGAGTGTGATGTGGTGAGGAGCATGCTCTGCAGAAATCCTGAGATTCTAAGCTGGGCTATGCACTTGGTCTGTGAACAGAGGGAACGCAAGAGGGTTCCATGGAGAAAAGTATAAGAGAGATCTTTTAATGTCTAAGGTAGCAAGTCCTGGGCAGTACTAATAACCTAAGTAGTTCTGGATCTAAACTCTCCTTAGGCTGGAAATTATAGTGGAGAGATCTTAGGTAAAATTAATTCCCAAAGTCTCAATGGTCTAGTGTTTAGAGTAGGGACCAAATCGCTATGAAAAGGGGATAATAAGCACCCTCAGCACATGTATGTTTGGCAAACATCTGTTCTTATCTCTTTTTTTCTTACAACTAATGCTTCTTTTTTGACTGGTTTCTTGGTGAGATACGTAGTTCTCAACAACGGGAGAGTATGCAAAGCTGGAAAACACCTGGGAGCAAAGCTGTGGCAAGAACAACTGACTCCTGTGAGGTCACATTAGCATTGGAATATGTTAGGATAGCCTTCAGCTGCTAAAGCCAGATTTACATTATTTGCTAAAATCAAAGTAGATTCCACCAAGAAACCTTCCTTTCTCTACTCTTTATGCACATAAACAGCATTTAGACACATTGGAGGAAAGCTCTTCTTTTTTTTTTTTTAAGGAATACTATCTATCTCTGTTTAATTGTTTTTTGAAGGCAGAAATGCATGTTATGTTTTAGATTTAGATTACTCAGATAATGCCAAGAATGGACTGGAGCATTGGAAGCCAGGAGTGCAAAGTTACCTTACGCAGATGGAATCCAGCCAGTGTGCTATCAGCTGTCACTTCCCTGGGAACATTCAAGGGGATGATGTTGCTCATCCTCTGCACCTCATGGATGACAGCATTGGTGTAGGGCATGGACTCTCGGTCAGCTGTGCTTGGCTGCCTCCCATGGCCAATCACTCTGTCAATCTCAGTGTGTACTTTTTCTGCAAAAAACAGGGTAGTGGGGGGAACTCAGCTGGTTTCAAAGTTTAGTGCTTTCTTCTGAAGACAGAGAAGTTGTCTCTAAGCTGTTATCTCCTGACATTTCACCTATTGTTTTGTCTACAAAGAGACACTATGTTCCTCAACTCCTCAGAAACCAGAGTTGGAAAATTGTCAATTCTGTAACTTTCCTTGTTCTTACAACATAGCCATAGCTTTCCACTGACCTTGAACTGAATAGCTCTCATCAACTTGGCTAAGCTCACAGTGATAACCATGTGGGCGGGTTTCTGCAAATTGTTTTCTTTCACCTAGTGGTTTGTAAAAAATAAAAGATTAATTTTCAGAGTTTGATGGTCTGGAAAACCTACAGTTAAGACATCAGGACATTTCCTGTCTAAAACGGATGAAGTTTTCTGTCTCATGGACAGCAAAGCTTTGCTGTATTCTAGTGTCATAAGAAAAAGGGAATCTCTTTGATTTCCATTTTTAAAAGTAAAATTAGAAAATATTCCATGACTTTTATTTGTGTGTGCTTGCACATGTTTCCAAGTGCAGAGTGAAGTCCATAGCACAGCTTGCAGGAGTCGGTTCTCTTCTGTGCTCTCTGCCTGCTGGGGATTAAACTCAGATAGTCAGGCTTGTGGAAAGTACCTTTAGCAGATGGACCATCTCTCCGGCCAGTCTGGTATCTCTTTTAAAGGCACTAATGCAGTTCACAAGGATAAACACTTCCTAACCCCACTCCACTAGTAATTAGGTTTCAAGAAAAACTTTATAAGTGATACAAGCTTTCACTCACTGAATACTGTAGACTGTGTCTTCTTAAGGAAATGTGCCAGAGTGGAAGGTACATTGTAAGCTATTGTGACCTTTGTTGCTGCTGAAGCTGCACACATTCTTCCAGTTTAGCTTTCCTTATCTGTCCACTAAGAATAAGTAGACCTTAGTTTAAGAATGTTTTAATAATTACTTGAAATTGTATTAACATAAGAAATAATTGAACCTTCTTGCTGTCCCCATATAGCTTCCGATTTTCTGTAGTAATAGTGGTTGCACTGCTATCCAGCTAAAATCTTAATTTCCTGGATTTCTTTTAGTTTTTTGACTGGAATGAGCTAAGTACAGAGAGACATATCACTGCATGGGCTGCTAAGCTAAACCCATATGCATATTTTAAAGGTATCTTGACTTCAAAATTTGAGTCTAAAGATATGCTAATTTGAAAAAGAGATTCTGCTTCTGTTTTCACAGAAGATGAGAAACTGTGGATCCTTCTAGGCTAATGTGGTTTGATGGATGAAGATCATGTAAAAGGTCTCCATGAACCTTATAGATAGTTCGCTCAACCAAGAGCAGAAAACAGTTTGGAGAAAACAATGCCCAAATTCCCAAAATGATTGTTTATAAATGTTTGTTTTAATTTATAGGGGTATATAATATAAAGGTGAATACTTGCATTGGTATGGATCTTGGTCTATTCTTACAAAATTAAGGTTGATATTGTTACACTGTATATATATATATATATATATATATATATATATATATTTCTGTTCTTATTTAAGGTATTGTGTCTATGTAGCTCATTAGAAAATGTAATGTATAATCAAAAATTAATAATTAAACTGTATTCATGTTAGATTTCTCAGATTTATAGAGATATATTTCAGATGGATAGGTATTCTTCTAATCTTTCTAAGACCTACAGAATATGGTATTTACAATGTTTTAAGAATTTAGACTTTCTTATGACAGTAAGACATGTCTGATTCCGGTACCACCAATTACTTCAGAGAGGTTGATGGACATTGAAGAAACACACTATGGAATTTGCCTTCAAGGTGACAAAGCTAGCCATTTGGGCAAGAAAATGCTCTTGCTTGGACTGCCTAATATTATGCTATATGAACTGGATATGCAGGACCCATAGAAAAGTGTCTGCTGAGCTTTCCAAAAGATGGGGTGGTTCTTAGGGTTCTTGATTCACAGAGGAAACTGCCAGACATTCTTCAGGACACAGAAGAAAGTGTTTGACAAACTGCCAAAATAGGTAAAACAGTCTTTTAAATCCTGCTTCATGGAAAAGTCTACCAGATACTATAAGCCTGTAGGCTGAATATGGATGCACCAGAGTTACAAAAGAACTTTGAGTGACTGTCTAGGTCTCTGTCATTTCTAGAACTTTGGAAGTTGCTTACAATGCACTTCTTGTTTACTTGGGTAATATTATGTTCTTTTGGGGTCTTTGATGGAGTTGAAGACAGATAGGTACAGTTATAGTTTTCTTTAGTTGTGATAAAAAATAAATTAGATATGAAATTTTAGACTCAGAAAGATAAATTAGATGATAGAATATTTTTTAAATTTTGGCAGATACAAATAGATTAAATATTGTAACAATAATTATTGCTTGATACTGGTTTTGTTATATGTAATCTTACTATGTTAAAGTTAAAACCTTCCTTTTATTTAGACAGAAAAGAAGAGATGATGTGGGATTCCCCTCCAAATGCTGTGGATAGTTTTATTACCATTGGTTAACAAAGAAGCTGCTCTGGCCTATGGAAGGGGAGAATAGAGCTAGGTGCTAAAACTAAACTGAATGCAGGGAGAAGGAAAGTAGAGTCATGGAAATGCCATGTAACTGCCAAAGGAGAAAGATACCTGATCCTTACCAGGCAGTCAATTCTTGGTAAAATTTAAACAATTTTAAGAGGTAGTGTCTGAGCACATTCTTCTGAAAGCTCAAAAACTGAAATAGCTCACTTTTGTTAGGGAGGAAGTCCAACATTCTGCTTATAGGCAAGAATAAGAACAATGCCAATGGAGAAAATGTAATGCAGGGAGACACCATGCAGAGTGTGTGTGGTTCAGTCTGGACAGACAGAGATAACATCAACAGGATGTCAGGTATCTTACTGAGGCATCCAGATGGTATTCAGGATGAAATAGGAAGGCATTGCTGAAAAGGAAGGAGGGACTGCATGGGCTTTAATCAGACAGTGTCACTTTTTACTGAAACCTACCTCATTGAAAGCTGGCTTCTCTATTTTCCCCTAGACCTAAAGATTCTCCTCATAGCTGCTCCGTGGGTTCCATTTCATTATTCTAGCCTCTGGCCTAGCTAAGCAACAGCTTCCAGAATTACCATTGTGCCTTGCCCAATGTGTATGTGTATTTGTGTGTACTGAGTGTAAGCTCACCTTGCACTACTGAGTCTATAGCCATGTAGAGCAGAGCCCAGCGCAGGGTCGTGGATGTTGTCTCTGTCCCAGCAAAGAAGAGGTCCAGAGTGCTGCAGATGAGGTTTTCTTCACTGAAACTTGTAGTCTTGTCTGGGTGCTAGAAAAGTCAGTGTGTATATTTTTTTTTAGTTAGAGGATTTGTGATTATCTGAAGAACAGAGTCATGAAACAAACAAATTTGGAAAGAATCTTTCAGAATGATATTCCCTTTGACCTCATTGGTTTGTATTGTTGTTCTTCAAGTGAGAGAGGTTGATCAAAAACATTTAAGTGGATAAAAACCGAGACAATAGCTTTTTATGATTACTCTTTTGAAAAAGCTTTTAGTAAAATGTAAGAGTTTTGGAAACAAAGGAGCACTTGGATTCATGTATCAATTATATGACTAAGTCATGACATGGCCTAGAGTGTTCTTTACCTTACGTTACATTTCTCTGCTTCAGTTTCATGACAAAAGAATAACACTTGTAGCTGGGCGGTGGTTGTGCACGCCTTTAATCCCAGCACTCGGGAGGCAGAGGCAGGCAGATCTCTGTGAGTTCGAGGCCAGCCTGGTCTACAAGAGCTAGTTCCAGGACAGGAACCAAAAAATCTATGGAGAAACCCTGTCTCGAAAAATCAAAAAAAAAAAAACAAACCAACAACAACAACAACAACAAAAAGAATAATACTTGTGATGGTTATTCTTGGGGTCAGCCTGATATATCTGGAATTATCTAAAACCCAAGTGACTGGGTGCCCCTGTGAGGAATATATAATTCAATCTTTTAAGGTGGAAAGGCTCCATTTAACCAGATATTTTGAGGTGGGAAGGTCCACCTTATATCAGCCACACCTTCTGGTGGCAGTCTATATAGAGGGCATAGAAAAAGGAAGTGTTTTCCCTTCACCTGGTTGTCCTTAAAATCATTGGAAGTCAATGCTTTCACTGGATTTAGAGCCTACTTCTTTTGGATTCTGGCATATCCTGAAGATCAGCTGAGAATCCAGCCTTGTGAACAGAACTACTGGATTCTCATATTTTCTGTTGGTCGACAGTCACTGTTGAACTTGCTGAACCACACACTCTAATAAATCCCCCCCCACATATACATATACACACATAAACATATCTATATACACAGATGTGTGTGTGTGTGTGTGTGTGTGTGCATGCATGCAAGCTCACACACACATTAGAATATCTTACAGGCTGTAGTTCACCGACTTCAACAATGTCTGTCTATCTAAGAGAAAACAGCCATCAACTTTTTACTCTAGAAAATCCTGAATAATACAAAATACATCTTAATCATGATAAATTGTGAGAAATGAAATGGGAATATAGCAAACACTGAACAAATATTTTTATTCCCTACAGAAATAATAAAGTGAAATCTCCATGTTTGCTGGTTGTCCTTTTTCTCATTTAATCTTTCATTTCAAAATCATGCCAAAATCTCTCAGGTCCTAACAGTTGTCCTTTAGAATGCCATATTTTCTTTACTAACTTCCTCTAGAAGTTTGTTAATATGGTTCTTAATGTTGATGGTCTCAAACCTGAACTCCATATGGTAAAAAATTTGCCTCCTTCTCCAGGGATATAATGTTGCATCTACTGATATTATACCAGGAAGATGAATTAAAAGAGACGGTGGGAAGCCATTTACCATTGTACACTTGGTCAGGGGAGGAACCTGGAATCCTGTGAGTCAAAGATTCTATGACTGATGCAATGATGTGTACTAGCCAGAGGCTTACCGAGATTACAGAAGTACAGTTAATGCTATGGTCTGAATGCAAATCATCCCCTAAAGGCTCAGGTTTTGAATGCTTGGCTCCTAGTTTCTGTGACTAATTTAGAGCTTCAAGAGAATTAGGAGGTAGGGCCCATTACTGGGAACAGAATCAAGGTTATAACAAGGCCCTGCACTCTGCCCTTGGTTCTCCTTCCTGGTAGATAATAATGGGCAGACTCCACCACACTCCTTTGCCACCATGAGCTAAGCATCTCTGCCATTCTTTTCCTGTAATAATGGGTCTAAGTTCTTTGAAATTGTGAAACAAAATACGTTTTCACTCTCTTAAGTTGTTTCTGAGAGTATTTTTACAATGATGCAGAAGAAGCAACTCCTACAAGCAAGCAGCTGCTTTCTAGATTTCTGAGTAATTGGAGTCTTGAAATGAGGTCAGAGGGAGACAGAGGCCCCATTCAGACTTTGAAGTTAAACTCTGGCATTGAATTAAACTTTGCCTGTGTTCTGCAGTGGGGATTGAGATGGAGTGGATGACTGGCTTGTAGATCAGCTCATTAAAAACTAGAGCTAAGAAGTTTAATTGAAACTTTTATTATTTATTACCTAAGGGTAAAGGCCCAGGAGGTGCATAAAGGGCCAATATCTTCCATTTTCAGGGCTTCATGTCAAACAGCAGTGGATCCCTTATTTGATTTTTATTAAAATTTTATTTATTTTTTCATATATTATACCTTGACTGAAGTTTCTACTCCGTTTCCTTTCTAGACACATCCTACCCTATTCACTCCTTTTCCTTTCCCCAAAGGAAAGGGCAGGCCTCAAAGGGATATCAGCCAAACATGACATGTCAAGTTGTTATAAGGCTAGGCACCTCTCTTCATATTAAGATTGCACAAGGCAATCCATTAAGAGGAAAGGGTTCAACAAGTAGGCAAAAAGTCAGAGACAGTTCCTACTCCCACTGTTAGGTGTCCCACAAGAAGACTGAGCTACTTTATGCAGAAGGCCTAGGTCACACCCCTACAGGATCCCTGTAATTTGGTCTCTCTGAGGTCTTATAAGTCCATTAGTTGATTATGTTGGTTTTCTTATGGTGTCATTACGTCCTTTGGAAGCTTCCTCTACCTCTCCAACAGGATTCACTGGGTTCTGCCTAATCTTCACCTGTGGGTCTTGTATCTATTTCTATCAATTGCTGGATAAAGCCTCTCTGATTATGATTTTGTTAGGCCCTTATTTACGAGTACATCAGAAGAGCATTAGGAATCATTTCATTGACTTTTATCTGGTTGTTTTTGATTATATTCTCTGTCTCTGATTTATCCAGCCTCTTGTCCCTAGCCCTCGATGCAGGGCCAGGGGTGGGCTCCTTCTCTGGGCATTGGTCTTAAGCTAGACTACTCACTGGTTAGCCACGCCCACAATTTCTGTACCACTTTTATTCAGCTCATATTGCAGGTAGGTTTAGGATATTATTGTGTTGAGGGTTGGTGTCTCAATGCACCCACTGGCAGTCTTGCCTGGTTACTTATCTTCCATTGCTAGGAATCTTAGGTATGGTTACCCTCAAATATTCCTGGGAGTTTTCATTGCAGTAGGTTTCTGTCTCATCCCTGAGATGCCTCCCAGTTTCAGTTGTCTCTCCCAGTACTTTCTCTCTCCATCCTCCCCACCCCACCACTCTTTTTCCCATCCCTACCTTCCCCCAGTCTACCTGTAACGTGTATTCTATTTCCCCTCCCCAGGAAGATTCATACTTCTCCTTGAGCCCTCCTTGTTGCTTACCCTCTCAGGGACTGTGGATTGCAAAATTCGTTACTTTACAGTTAATATCCACTTATGAGTGAATACATACAATGTTTGTCTTTCTGGGTCTGGGTTTCCTCACTTGGGATGATTTTTTCTAGTTCCATCTATCTTCAGATTTCATGATGTTATTTTAACAACTGAGTAATAATTCATTGTGTAAATGAAGTCTTTTCTTTCTCCATTCTTTGGTTGAGGGGCATCTTGTTTCTAGTTTCTGGCTTTTACAAATAAAACTGCTATTCTATGAACATAGTTGAACAAGTATCCTTGTGATAGAATTAAACATCCTTTTGGTATATACCAGAGAGTAGTATAGTTGGTTCTTGAGGTAAGGTGATTCCTATATTTCTGAGAAACTACCATATTGATTTCCAAAGTGACTGTTCAAGTTTGTACCCCCACCAGTAAGGGAGGATTATTTCTCTTTTTCCATGTCCTCTCCTGCATGGACTGTCACTTGTGCTTTTGATCCTAGACATTCTGTCAGGTATAAGATGAAATCTTAGAGTCATTTTGATTAACATTTCTCTGATGACTAAGGATATTGAACATTCCTTTAAGTGCTTCTTGGCCATTTGAGATTATTATGTTGAGGAATTTCTATTTTGATTTGCATCCCATTTAAAAATTTACTATTGGATTTGTTGACATTTAGTTTTTTTTTAGCTTCTTTATAGATTTTTGGAAACTAACCTTTTGTCATATGAAGAATTGATGAAAATCTTTTCCCATTCTGTAGGCTGTCATTCTGTCCTTTTTACAGTGTCATTTGCTTTACATAAACTTTTCAGTTTCATGAGCTCCCATTTAATAATTGTTGATATTAGTGTTTGTACTTTTGGTTCAGAACAGTTGTCAGTGGGTTCAAGCTTATTCCCTACTTTTTCTTCTATTAGGTCCAGTGGTTTTATGTTGAGGTCTTTGACCCATGTGAACTTGAATTTTATGCAGGGTGAATGATATGGATCTATTTGCATTCTTCTACATGCTGATATTCACTTAGACCAGCACCATTTATGGATCATGCTTTCTTTCTTTCCATTTTATTATTCTGGCTTCTTTGTAAAAATTCACATGTCCATGGGTGTGTGGATTTATGCCTGGGTCTTTAATTTGACTTCATTGATTAACCTGTCTTTTTATATCAATATCATGTAATTTTTATTACGATAGCTCTATAGGAGAGCTTGAAATCAGAAATAGTGATACCTCCAGATGTTCTTTGATTCTGCACAATTGTTTTAGCTCTCCTGAATTTTTTGTTTTTCCATATAAAGCTGAGTATGGTTCTTTAAAAGTCTGTAAAGAATTGTGTTGGGATTTTGATGGGGATTGCATTGAATCTGTAGATTGTTAGTAGGACAGTAATTTTTACTATGTTAATCCTACCAATCCGTGAACATGGAAGATCTTTCCATCCTCTGATATCTTCTTTAATTTCCATCTCAGAGACTTGAAGTTCTTGTCATACAGTTTTTTTTACACTTACTTTGTTAGAGTTATCCCAAATATTTTGTATTATTTGTAGCTATTGTGAAGGATATTTTTTCCATGACTTCTTTCTCAGACTACTTTTAATTTGTATATCAAAGGGCTACTGATTCTTTTGGGTTATTTTGTATCCATCCACTTCACTGTAGGTGTTTAACATCTGTATGAGTTTCCAAGTAGGATTTGCGAAACTGTGCTACTTCCCTGCTGTAATGGTTAACACTCTGGACTTTGAAGTCTTTACTTCTAATAATATTCCTGGCATAATGCTCTCATGCATTTCTAAAATACTATTCATAATTTATATTTACATGGCATGTTAATTATTTACCTACAAAGATGCCCAGATCTTCATTTTATAACGTGTGTATGGTACTTGATCAGCTAAGATAGGCTTTGCAGAAGTGATTAATTTGAGAGAGGAATATTAGACTGAATTATCCTTATGAGAAAAGGGTTGAGCATAAGAACCAGAGAGAGAAGATGTAAAGATAGAAGCAGATAATGAGAGAGGAAAGATGCTACAAGATTGATACTGAAGGTGGAGGAAAGAGTGAGCCATGCAAAGGATATCAGTGCCCTTTGAGACCTTGATCCTGGAGTCTCTATGGTGTTGGAGTCTCTATAATCCTCAGAAGAAGTTCACCTGGCCAGTAGGAATAGGGATTCATCTAGTACTGAATCAGTGCAATACTACACCCTTAAACACATGGCAACGTGATACAAGATCAAATAGAAACTACTAAATCACCATATAGTTTTTAAGAAGACCCAGGCAGTATCTTCCTCACCTTTGACATTTCTGTGAGGAAAGCATCAATGAAGTCTCTCGGTTCAGCGGGATTCCAATCTTTCTGGTGACTGTGCATCATGTGAGCCACAAACAGTTTCAGTTTTTCCCAGTTTCTGAAAACTGTTTGGTGTGATCCAGGAAGATATTTCATTATGGATGGAAAGACATTGTAGAGCTTATAAAGAAAAATAAGAATATCTTAGAGACAGAGTAGAGTCATTTTTCTATATTTCTGAAGAATCTTGTCCTTCCCTCTGTTTCATTTAGTGAAACTTTAGGGTCATTTTAGTTTCTGGCTTCCTTGTCACCACTGCATATACAGGTGTTTATCTGTGACATGTAAAATATATGAAGAACCAGGCTACTTTTCATCAGCCCAGCTTCTTGCTCCCTGGTCTACACTATCATCTCTCCTATCTGAATTTTTGCATGCTATTCAATTGTTTTTTATTCTACTATTCATGCTTTCTCAGATCAGTTTGCAAATAGATCCCAGAGAGAACATTTACCAATTTCATCACATGACTTGTGAAACCATCCACTGCACTCATAATTGGGTATGGTGTGTTGCACCTGTAAGCCCTACAGAGATGGAAGCCTTCAAGCCTTCATCATTATCCATGTTTCTCTCCACCCTCCAGTCATGTCCACAGCTATGATCACACTGATGGCATTTCTTTTTCAGGTCTAAGCAGTTAGTATTCATGGTGACTAGAAAATATCTCTGAATCGAACATGACCCCTGTCCTTCATTTCATGAAAGTAATACTCAAAAGTCACATCCTTGGAGCTCTGATACTTGATTATAGACATAGGCTTTTTCTAATCCTTTTTCAGGATTTATTTTTCTCAGGAAAATTACTGCTAACATGTACTGTGTGGGTTGCTGTGTATGCGGGTGTCTCTAAAGTAACTTCCATATGGTGAGATAGAAATCTTGACTGAAGTAAAGTGGATGATGAATAAAGTTTCAATAATATTTAGTGGGAAACAGATAGCATAGCACAGTGTAAAATCAACAATACATAAAATGAGGCAAATGTCTAGTTGTTACTTCTGCTACCTTTAGGTTTGATAATAGTTTTAATAATATGAATAATTTTAATATTCTTAATAATATTAAAGTATTCTAATATTTATTGCTACCAGCAATATTATTGATAACACTAAAGCATGTACATATTCAATATCATTTATATTGTTAAATTATGTCAGTGTTTAATATTATTAAGTAATATTAACTTTGTATTCTTTAGCAGTGAAATGTCACTCTCTCTGCATACCAAATGGTATGACACAAAAAGTATTCCACAGAGGTGTGGTGAATTACTGTCTACATTTGCTTGAATACTTTTGTACCAGGTTTCAGACATATGTTTCATTATTTTATATGTAGAGAGCCATTGTGAAAATTAATGGACATGTGCTTTTATAGTGTCTATCAAAGTGTTTCATTTAATGTTTTATGTCAAGAATGTTTATTATCACTCTTTCCTATCTCTCTGTTCTTTCTAATATTTCCCCTCCCTGGTACATAATCTATAAGTTGACTGGGCACTCGCTGAACTTTATTGATTTCCTAGGTTCTGCTTACTAGGTGGAAAGCAAAGGAGCTGCTGAACTTGTAACTACCACAATTAAGAGTTAAAACAAGGAACATAGAATACAATCAAGTACAACAGATCAATTTCTTTGTGCTCCATTTGTCTATAAGATATGCTAATCAATTCATCAAATTTTAATGAGAGCATCCCTGAACTTGAAGAGAAAGTGCTGTGGGAAGAGGATAAGTGAGAATAAATACACTACAGAGATGTGGATGTATAGAAGCAAAAGGTTGCAAAGGGAAAGAGAACTTTTGAAGGACTAGTAATTGTGCTTCAGATCCATTCTCTCTGGAACCCTTGTGTACCCAAGTACACTAAACCAGCAAGGAGAAGGTCACTGCAGCAGTATTATACACAGAAGAGGATCAAAAGCAATGTAAATCATGCGGACAAAGGACAGACAGAAGTACATAGAGTGGCTGAACTAGTGAGAGCTATGCAGGAATCTGTTTTGATTAAGAGAATTAACAAGTCAACCTGTAACAGTAATAGAGAAGAAAACAAAGACTAAATGTGAATTTAACCAACCAGAAAACCACATCAAAATTACGGGAATTGGTGTGGATTGTTTAGTAGCAATTTTTAATGTCAATGGCCAACATACAAACTTACACATACACACACACACAATAGAGAGAGCGAGAGAGAGAGAGAGAGAGAGAGAGAGAGAGAGAGAGAGGAAGGACATAGACTAGAGGAATAAACAAAGACTGAAGAGTTGTTTCTAAGAGATATACTGTACAGGCAAGAGCACCCACAGACTGAGAGTAATAAGAGAGAAAATAAGCAACTATTAAGCAAAAGAAAATTTAAAACATACAATTCTTGCTATCCTGGTATCTGAGAAATAGATTTCAAGTCCAAAATAGCTGAAAGTGACTTATAAAACGTCACTATAAATTAATAAAGAGAACAACCATTCAGTCAGGACAATTGTATCTAAATATGACTCAGACCAAATTCAGGCCTTCTAATTTCATGCAATCAATAATAATAAAAATAAATTGTCAAAGGAGTCCTGAGGTAATACAGAGTGATTTAAGTAACCTGCTGTCATCTCTAGATAGCTCCTCCACAGTGAAAATTAAAAGTAAAGAAAGAATCAAATTACACTGTAGATAAAACTGTCCTTAAGAAATAGCTAGAGGGTAATTCTTCCAACAGAAGTAAAATGGAATACATTCTATACCACAAATGAACTCTTACCAGATACAAAAGAAATAAAAGTTATTTCTGAGCTGAAAAAAAGACAATAGCAATAGACATACTGAAGAGATACCAACCCAACGCAAGGAACTATAGGCAACTAAGGGCTACTGAGAATAAGAGAAAACATCTTCCCAGAGAAGATCCCAACAATTGGCTATCCAACACCAGATGATCATTCTTAAAAACATACATATAAGCAAGTTTATAAAGGCTAAGTCCGTTGTATTATGTATTTAGGGATATATATTCTAGAACATATGCATATGAATCAATAATTCATGAAAAATTGAGGCTGTGAATGTGAAAGTGGGCAAAGAGGGTTACTTTAAAGTATTTGGGAAAAAAATAAATTATTTGGAGAAAGGAAAGGGAAGGAAAAAATCATATAATTATGTAATAATCTTAAAAATATAATAAATAACTTTTTAAAGATTCACACTAAAAATGATCCAAATGAGTGGATGTGTTCACTTGAACACTGGCACCATAATATTCATGAATATATTATTCCTAATATCCCGAACCTAGGGACAGCTCAAATACCTAACCACAGAAAAAATGACAACACATTCAGACACTACACTGCCTACAAAGAGGAATCTTAAAACAACCTGATGGGCTAGAAAGTGACTCTGAGGTAGGAAGAGAGAGGCACAGAAGGAGACAATCATAGTCAATGATAAGACTGCTATGTTTTTAAAAAAGGGAATTTCCAAATACTTGTATATGTGCCAATGTAAATGTTAGAAATGTTTTTATATGTTAAGCTCTTATATTACAAATAGTTTTGTATCAAATTCAATATATTAGTTTCCAAAAATCTCTAAAACTAAAATAAAAAAATTTATCTGTTTTTGAGTCAGTCACAATCCAATATTGTTTCCAAAATATGGGAAGTCAAAAAACTTACCAGGCACATCATCGATGCCTCCAAACACGTGGCCTCATCCAGTAGCTTCAGCATCTCCTGAAACTGACTGTCATGGTACTCAAAACGCTCCCCAAAGGTGACAGAGCAAATGATATTGGAAACTGCATTGTTGATACTGAAGTGAGGGTCAAAAGGCTGTCCTGGGGGTGGGGAGAGGGCATATGTCTTTAAAAGATATTGGGTAATGTCTGTTCCTCCTACCCCCTCTGTCTTCCTTCCTTCCTTCCTTCCTTCCTTCCTTCCTTCCTTCCCTCCCTCCCTTTGTTCTTTCTTTTCCTTCTTTCTTTATTTTTTCTTTACAAAGATTCCACAGTATATGACATAAAATATGCATAGTAGAGCAGGATATGAAAAGGTTCAGCTCTAGCGCTCTACAAGAAGCCTAGAACAATTTAAGGACTTTGTCAACATCTGTGAAGTCACATAGAGAACCAGACTTTAAGTGCTACAATTTGCTTAATGACCCATTTGTGTGCTTCGCTGTAGAACTCCTTGGGCAAGGGAATTACTAAATGTTCATTGCTCGGTTCTCAGTGCCTAGCACACTGCAGAGAAAAGACTAAAATTTATGCAATAAGAATCTATTCAATGAACGAAAGGGCCACAGCCAACTGCACTTCCCTGTGACAGGCCCACCTTCCTCTTCTCCTATGGCTTCCACAAGATGGAGGGCCTCCTCCTGTATGCGCTGCTCTAAGCTCTTCTTTCCCAATCCAAAGTTCTTGAGTGTCATTAGTGCAAACCTCCTTTGCTCCTTCCATGTCTGACCATTGGACATGATCAATCCTGGAAAAAATACAATCAGCAATATGGCATTGCTATTTGAACTTAAAAGTACCAGAAAAACTGTATTAGACATGTATACAGAGGAAAAGAAAGCCCAATATGGGAACTGATAGCTGTCTAGAGACAATCTCTGTGCAAGTGACTAACATGTTCTGGTGATTTGCAACAGCACATAATTTAGTAAGTACTTCTTCTGTCGTATATAATTTTGTATTGATAGAAACTCTGCAGGTTTATTACCAACTAGCAAATGTCTGTTTCAGTTGGTGATAATAAATTCTAAAGTAATCTTTGATCAAGAACAAGTAGATGGACATCCAGGTATTCAAATTTCCCTGGTTCTAAAGCCCCAAATTGATTAGTAGAAATATGTCTATTTATGTCACAGTGCATACCAGGAATGCACTCATGGATAAGACAAGGCACACATTACTTATAGAACAATAAAGACACTATAGGAGAGGTTCTATCAAAGACAGACTTGAAAGATGACAAAATGACTCAAGAAGTTAAGGATGAGTATTTTCTCTCTCTCTCTCTCTCTCTCTCTCTCTCTCTCACACACACACACACACACACACACACACACACACACACACACACACACGGGTGTGGGAGAGGAGAAACATGCTGCTGGGGTTAGCATCCACCATGTCTCAGCGCACATACAAGGCCACACTCCTGTCTATATCTTACCTTTCAGAACAACGTTCAACTCTTTAACATTTAAAGTTTTGTTTTTCTTCTCCGTGTGTTCTTTCATTAACTCAGTCATTTATTTTCTGAAACTTCCCCTTCTATGCTGGATCATTCAGCTCCAGATTTCCTTCCCAATTCTTTGACAGAAATTTCCTATGACTTTTGTTGTTTTATTTTAACTATCAAATCTCAAAACATTGAAGTTTTTTAAAGACAAGTTCTAATAACACCCTCTTACAGCAAAGTTTGTCTCAGAATATCCACTGACTCCCTATCATTTAAATAACTTCTTCTGACAGTCAGACTGTAGTTTTACATGTCCCAGGAGAAAAATACTCCTGAATCATGCATGTTACTATAAATGTTGCCAGCTACAGAAATTTACACTCAGTACATGTATGACAGAAGTCATTATTCCATGTCTGAAGTTCCCAAATAGAAGTCACTACCACAAGTCACCTTGTCTTTTGCCATTGTTCTCCATGCATCACTCACAGCTCCTGCAGTCTCCTGAGAACCCATTTCCCTGCAGCTAAGACATATGCCATGATGGTTTCTCTCTTGAATGACTTCAGTCCGAATGGCTTTAATGCCACCATCCCAGTCTAACCTGCTGTCATTTTTGTCATATCGACTGTTCTAACTCCTTTTATAATTACAGTGATGATTTCTTTGCTATCATTCTTCTCTTCTCTACCTGGCATTCTAAATATGCCTCAAAATGTGCAGTATTTGATCTTTTCCTCCTAACCAAAACCATTTAAGAGCTTCTCCTGCTGTTATGATGAAAACCAAGAGCTAGGCTCTTTCTTATCAACCTCAATAGTTTTATGTCCACTTAAATAGATCCTTCAAATACTATACTTGCCACACTGGATCCTTGCAGTTTTTCAAGATCTCCGCTGTATTGTGCCTTCAAGGATATTCCATCTCTTTGAGTACTTTTTTTTACACTATTAGATGAATACCATTATTTCGAAAGCTTTTCCTGAATCCTAGGACAACTTGGATGTCTTTGATAAATGCTTTATTATCGTAGCATGATAAGATTTTAATCAGTATAGTTAGGTGATTCAGACTTTCTTGTTAGATGAATTATGTGTTATAGAAGAATGATTTTATCTCTTCTGATCAGTATTAATCAATTAGGCCGATGACTCTGCTTCTCCTAGCAGACAATGTAGCCAAAGTCATGCCATTAGTGGTTGTCTTTTCCAGGAGCAATTTGAAATGGCTAAAACAGAACTTTTACAGGTTAATAGAGAGGAAGTCTGTTTTCAACTTTCCAACACACGACTTGATTTAATGATCACTTTGCATACTCACGCTAGACTATTCTCACACTGTCTGGAACACTAGAGATTCCTGTGTGGCATGGCTTCAGTGATGTAGTTTAAGGAGTCTTAAGCAAAAAGAGCAGTAGCAGGAGGAAGCTCACTCACACACATTTTCCTAGGGCAGAGGACTGGAGTGGAAAAACGGAAGTGAGGGCTCAGCCTGTCTGGCTGTGGAAGGAGCTGTCTTTACCTATCCATGCATCCAGAGTTAGTCTGCAGGACACGTGGGTTCTCCAAGTCCTCTGATGGTTGCTTTCATCTAGGATATACTACATCTAGCTGACTTTGAAGATAACATTTCATGAAGGGTTTGGTTTATAGGAATGTTGTAAAATTATAGATATAGAGGCACCTTCATCACATCATAAAACACCTTATACTGCACTAGAAACAATGTTATATGCACTTTTTAAAAAAATTTATACATGTGCAATACCGGTTGATCATATTCCTTTTCCACTCTTTCTAAAACTCTTTCAGGAATCTCTCTTAATATGTGTCCCATCCTCTATCAAAATTCATATGTGTGTTTTTTTTTAAATACCCTCTACAGTTAATAGTGTTGCCAGTTAAACTTACCATTGTCATTAAAGACACGTTTTCTGAGAGGTGTAATGGGGCGTTTCAAAAAGTTTTGTTCCATGTGAGTGAAAGCTTCTTTGATTAAGGGTAGTCCAGTTATGACCACTGAAGGGATGTTACCAAAATCCAGGCTAATTAGGTCTCCGTACTTCTTCACAAACTGAAAAACATTTCAATAGTCATGGTCAAGTGTGTCTGTGTCAGGGATGGCAGACGTGTGTGTCTAATGGGACTCATGTTGAGAGGTCTCTATGTGACTGTGAATTGAAGGACGCACTGTTCTTTGGTTTCTGAGAAGGTTTTCTCCTCCTCTGAACTAAATTCAAATTCAATTATAACTGGGATTTACTCTATTAAAATCATTGATAAAGGACATTATGAACTAAATGAGCATTTATAATGTACTACTAAAAGGAATGTAAAAGTATGGATGTGTCAAATAATATGCAAGGTCTTGACTCTGTCTCCAAACCTCCTATTCCCCCTCCCACTGTAACCTCAGTAGAACTCTGAAACATAGGCTGCAAATTCACAGAAAGGACCAAAAGGTGAGAGACCACCCACCTGGTGGGACACCTCACTTTCTAGGTCCTCTATACCATGGCAAAACTCCAGAGCCCTTCATCACTTGCTTCAGCTTCTCGAGCCAGCCAGTAGGCACGCTTTTTTCAGGTACATTGCACCAACATCCCCATCTCATTGATGGGACCCTGTAAGCTACAAATTCTACTCCACCCCCCACCTCCCTATCCCAGTGGAACCCAGAAACACAAGCTGCAATTATCATAGAGGACCAAGAGAGTAAACCAAGAGAGCAGACAAAGAGAGCGGGTCAAGAGAGTAGGCCAAGAGAGACCTCAGTGGTTCCCTGAGACACAAGGAACAACAGTGCAGGGCAGATCAATAACAGTTCCTAAAGACACAGACAGCCACTACAAGGATTGGATCAAGAGGCAAAGACACTGCCTGCACCAATTGGAGGAAGAGATAAGTAGGCACTAATGCTAGAGTTCATTCAACAACCTAAAAAGCAACATGGTACCCAGTGGTCATAGGACAGGAAGACTTGATGATCCTAACCCAAAAGCAGCAGAAAAAAAAGATTTTAAAAATCACTTTATGAGGATGAAGGAGACCTTTAAAGAGGAAATGAAATATTCCCTTAAAGAAATGAAGGAAAAGGCAAAAAAAAATATATCTCAAAGATGAGGCAAACAATTCAACACTTGAAGACTGATATAGAGGCAATAAAGAAAACACAAACTGAGGGAATTTGGGATATGGAAAAGCTGGGTAAACAAAAAGCAACTATAGAGGCAAGCATAATAAACAGAATACAAGAGATAGTGGGTGTTGAAGATACTCTAGTGGAAATAGATTCATTAGTCAAAGAAAACATTAAATCCAACAAATTCTTAATACAAAACATCCAGGAAATCTTGGACACCATGAAAAAACAACCCTTAGAATAATGGGGATAGAAGAAGGAGAATAACTCCAACTCAAGGTACAGAAAATATATTCAACAAAATCACAGAAAAAAATCGTTCCTAACCTAAAGAAGGATATCCCTATGAAGGTACAAGATGCTTACAGAACACCAAATAGACTAGACAAAAAAAAAAACCTAGTCCCTTCACCATATAATAATCAAAATGAAAAACATACAGAATAAAGAAAGAATATTAAGATCTGCAAAGGAGCCGGGCGGTGGTGGCGCACACCTTTAATCCCAGCACTTGGGAGACAGAGGCAGGCGGATCTCTGTGAGTTCGAGACCAGCCTGGTCTACAAGAGCTAGTTCCAGGACAGGCTCCAAAGCCACAGAGAAACCCTGTCTCGAAAAACCAAAAAAAAAAAAAAGATCTGCAATGGAAAAATCTTAAATAACATATAAAGTCAGGCCTATCAGAATTACACCTGACTTCTCAAAGGAAACCATGTAAGTCAGAAGGTCCTGGACAGATGTGCTGCAGACACTAAGAGACCATGGATGCCAGCACAGATTACTATACCCAGCAAAGCTTTCAATTAACATTGACAGAGAAAACAAGATATTCCATGACAAAACCAGATTTAAACAATACCTACTCACAAATCCAGCCTTACAGAAAGTACTAGAAGGAAAACTCCAACTCAAGGAAGCTAATTGCACACAAAAAACACAGGCAACACATACCATCATACCAGCAAACCCCAAAAGGGAAACGCAGAAATACTACCATCAAAAAACAACAGGAAGTAACAATCACTGGTAATTAATATCTCTTAATATCAATGGACTCAATTCATCTATACAAAATACAAGCTAAGAGAATGGATATAAAAGCATGATTCGTTATTCTGCTGTGTACAGGAATCACACCTCAACCACAAAGACAGACATTACCTCAGAATAAATGGTTGGGAAATGATTTTTCCAATCTAATGGACCTAAAAAACAAGCAGGTGTAGCTATCCTAATATCTAACAAAATAGACTTCAAACTAAAATCAATCAGAAGAGATGGAGAAGGACACTTTACTCTCATAACAGAAATAATCCATCAAGATGAAGTCTCAATCCTGAACATCTGTGATCCAAATACAAGAGCACCCACATATGTAAAACAAACATTACTAAAGCTTAAATCACATGTCAAACCTCACACACTAATAGTAGGAGATTTCAACACTCCACTCTCCACAATGGACAGGTCAACTGGACAGAAACTTAACAGAGAAAGAACTAACAGATGTCATGACTCAAATGAACTTAATAGACATCTACAGAATATTCTGCCCAAACACAAGTAATATACTTTCTTCTCAGAACTTCATGGAACCTTCTCTAAAATTTCCCACATATTCAGTAACAAAGCAAACCTCAACAGATACAAAAAAGTAGGAATAACACCTTGTTATTGAATCATCACGGTTTAAATTTAATATTTAACAATAACACTAATTACAGAAAGCCTACAAACTCATGGAAATTGAACAGTGTTCAGCTGAACCATCCTTGGGTCAAAGAAGAAATAAAGGAAGAATTTAAAGACTTCCTAGAATTGAACAAAATGAAGGAGAATGGAACATTATGAATGCAGTCCTAAAAGGAAAGATCAAAGCATGAAGTTCCTACATAAAGAAAGTGGAGAAATCTCACAGTAGTGACTCAACAGCACATCTGAAAGCTCTGGAACAAAAAGAAGCAGACTCACCAGGGAGGAGTAAACAACAGGAAATAATCAAATTGAGGGCTGAAATCAATAAGATAGAAACAAAGAAAACAATACAAAGAATCAATGAAAAAAAGAGCTGGTTCTTTGTTAAAATCAACAAGATAGACAAACACTTATCCAAACTATTCAAAAGGCAGAGAGAGAACATCCAAATTAACAAAATCAGATATGAAAGGGGGGATGTATCAACAGACACTGAGGAGATCCAGAGAATCATTAGGTTATACTATAAATACCTTCACAAAATTAGAAAATGTAAAAGAAATAGACAATTTTATGGAGAGGTACCACATACCAAAATTAAATCAAGGTCAGGTGAATAATTTAAATAGACCTATAAATTGCAAGGAAATAGAAGTTGTCATCAAAAGCCTCATAAACAAAAGCCCAGGACCAAGATGGTTTCAGTGCATAATTCTACTAGAACATCAAAGGAGACCTAATATCTATACTCCTCAAAGAGTTCCTTATAATATAAAGAGAAGGGACATTGCCAAACTCTTTTCATGAGGCTGCAGTTACCCTGATATCAAAACCACACAAAGACTCAACCAAGAAAGAGAACTACAGAACAATCCAACTCATAAACAAAAATGCAAAAATAAATCATCACCCATGATCGATTTGGCTTCATCCCAGAGATGCAGGGATGGTTCACCATATGAAAATGTATCGTTGTAACCCACCATATAAATAAACTGAAAGGAAAAAGCACATAATCATCTCATTAGATGCTGAACAAGCATTTGACAAAATAACAGCACCCATTTATGATAAAGGAATTTGAGACTTCAGTGATACAGGGAATATATCTAAAAATAATAAAAACAACATACAGCAAGCCAACAGCCAACACCAAATTAAATGGGAAAAATGCAAAGCGATTCCACTATAATCAGAAACAAGATAAGGCTGTTTACTCTCTCCATATCTATTCAACCTAGTTCTTGACATTCTGGGTACAGCAATAACACAACAAAAGGAGATGAGGGGGTTCAAATTGGAAAGGAACAAGTCAAATTTTCATTATTTGCCAATGATATGATAGTATACATAAGTGACCCCCAAAACTCTACCAGGGATCTCCTAAAGCTGATATCATACCAAAGAAAATTTAACCATGTTCACAGCAGCATTATCTGGAATAGCTAGAACCTAGAAACAACCTAGATGCCCCTCAACTGAAGAATAGATAAAAAAAATTATGGTATATTTACAAAATGGAGTACTACTCAGAGGTAATAAAACAACGACATCTTGAAATTTGCAAGTAAATGGAACTAGAAAAAATTCCAGAGTGAGGTAAGCCAGACCCAGAAAGATGAGCATGGTATGTACTCACTCATAAGTGGATACTATCTATAAAGCAAAGGATAATGAGCCTATAGTCCACTACCCTAGAGAAGCTAAGTAACAAGATGAACCACAAGAAAAACATATATAGAGCCCCCTGGAAATTTGAAATAGACAAAATCACCTGACAAAATTGGGAGCATGGGGGTAGGGGGAAAGGGAGGGCAGAAAGGGGAAAGAAGGGGAAAGGGAAAGGGAGGAAGAGAACTAGAGAGAATGGGATAGTTGAAATGAAGGAAGGACAGAGATGAGAACAAGGAAAGAGATATTTTTGATTGACTAGCAAGAAACCTGACGCTAGAGAAATTCCCAGAAATGACCACAGCTAAGATCCTAAGCAATGAAGGAGAGAGTTCCTGAACTGGCCTTGTCCTGTAGTCAAATCGATGAATATCTTAAATGTCACCATAGAACCTTCATCCAGCACCTGATGGAAGCAGAGGCAGAGACCCACAGCAGAGCACTGGGCTGAGTTTCAAATGTTCAGTTGAAGAGTGGAAAAAGAAAGAATATGAGTAAAGAAGTCAAGTCCATGATGTAGACACCCACTGAAACAGTTTACCCGAGACAATGGAAGCTTACCAACTCCAGCTGGACAGGACGGAACCAGCACAGCACCAAACTAGACCTTCTGAATGTGGGTGACAGTTGTATGGCTGGGGCAAACTGAGGGGACACTGGCAGTGGCACCAGGATTTATCCCTATTGCTTCTACAGGATATTTTGGGAACCCATTCTCCTTGGATGTATACTTTGATCAGCCTAGATATAACTGGAGGACATCTTGAATTTTGCATGCAATTGGATGGAACTAGAAAATACCATCCTGAGTGATGAATACTCAAAAAGGTGAATATGGTATGTACTCACTCATAAGTGAATGCTAGCTATAAACAAAGGATGCTGAGCCTATAGTTCATGATCCTAGAGAAGCTAAGTAACAAGGTGAACTCTAATATATATTTTATCCACCTGGAAAGTCAAAATAGACAAGATCACCTGACAAAACTGGGAACATAGGTGTGATGGGAAGAAGGGAGGGTGGAAAGGGAAAAGGGTGGGAGAAGGGGAGGGACAAGAGGAACTTGAGGGAATGGGATAGTTGAGTCGGAGGAAAGACAGAGATGAGAGCAAGGAAAGAGATATGTAATACTGAAGGATCCATTATGGAGTTAGCAAGAAACCTAACCCTAGAGAAGTTCCCAGGAATCCACAATAATGACCCCAGCCAAGACCCTAAGCCACAGATGAGAGGGCTCCCTAACTGGCCTTGCCCTGTAATCAGACTGGTGAATATCTTAAATATCACTATAGAACCTTAATCCATAAACTGATATAAACAGAAGCAGAGACCCACAGTAGGGCACTGGGCTGAGCTGCCAAAGTCCAGTTGAAGAGTGGGAGGAATAAGAATATGAGCAAAGAGGCCAAGATCATAGTGGATACACCCACTGAAACAGTCTACCTGAGCTAACCAGATAGCTACCAGGAACACCAGCTGGACAGGGATGGCAGAATCATAGGACTAAATTAGTCCCTCTAAATGGGATTGACAGTTGCATGACTGGGGCAGACTGAGGGGCCACTGGCAGTGGCACCAGGATTTATTCCTACTACGTGTACACTGACTGGGAACCTATTCTCTTTGGGATGGATACCTTGCTCAACCTTGATATAGTAGGAAGGATCTTGGATCTTCCCCAAAGCAATGTGCCCTACCCTCTCTGAGGAGTGGGCGGTGGGTTGGGAGGCTAGTGGAGGGAATGGGAGGAGGGAGGGATTGGGAACCTAAATTTGTATGTATAATGGAAAAAGATGGTTTGTTTTCTTTTTTTAAAAAAATAAAAACAGAATTTATTTTTAAAAAAGTAAAAGACTCTTGTGACCTGACAAGGCCTGAGAAAGGTCTGTCCATGTTTTTTTACAGCTTGCTTGGACTTTTTAGAAAACCAAATGTCTTTTAATTAGAGGATAATGCCATCTTCACACAGCTACTAGACACGAGATGTACGTGTGTAAAATAATGAGACTAACACTGAGGGCAGCCCATGCACCTGTGTGTGGAAAAGGTACCTTGATATAAAAGGAATGTTTAGCACTTTTTTCTTTATCTTCACTTCACCAAACTCCAATTCACTTCAGAGTCTGAAATGTCTTCTTATACTTTCATTCATGCATTCACCAATATGCACTGAGTGAGCATCATTTTTTCTCTGGAAGTGTTTTTAAAAAGCAAGGGCTCTAACCCGGAATCTAGTGAAGGCAGGAAATTCAAGTCTTTGCTCCTCAGAGAGTTCAAGTTGTCTATGTAAAAGTCTGTTGTAGGAAGCATGGAAGTCTGAATGAAAATTACAGTATCAGTGTAGGAAAGGGAATATTCTCGGTTTAATCATTAGTAGATATGAAAAATGCAATAAAGGAGTGGAGGCATCTCTGCAAATCTGGAGTGATGGAAGCATGTAGGTTTTATGGTTAATTGACTGGGTTCCTGGGACAAGTGCTCTCTTCCAAGTCTCAGACCTCCCAGTTATGAAAGAGTAAAAAAATTCCCTATTCAAAGAGTTCTGTGGGGTATAGTGAGAGTTCCACTACGAGAAGCATTGTTTAGTTCCAGGCACCCAGCCACCCACTGCATCTCCGACAAATGAATGAGCTTTGTGTTCAAAGGTTTGCAGACACAAATGCATGGTGAGAGTCAGGACAAGAGCCTACTGATCCCAGACAGCCACACAAACTGAGTGGGGATTCAGTATGCTTTGTGCTTTACTTAGTTATGGATAACTGTTCGACTGTAGCTAGGATTTTCTTCACCACTCTGAAAAGGCAAATAAATTGTAGGTGGAGTAATCTCATATATCGGATTGTAGGCAAACACGTTAATGTAGAGCCTTAGAGTTTAGTGGAAGGTAGCTTAAGGAGCAGCCACGATAACAAGGAGGTTGTTTAGGAGAGAAGGAGAGTTCCTATCACAGGCCTAATGTAGAAAACATCGTTTTGGATGATGCTATGAGATCAATATCAAAGCTCCTTCCACCTGTGTTCTCAAGAGTTCAAATTATGTAGAGCCAAGCTCTAACTCTTGTCTAGCTGCAACAGTAGTGTCAAACAGAAGGGTTCAATTCCTTCAGGTTATCTGTGGTCTTCTGCTCCATCTCTATGCACTGTCACCCTAACCTTAACTTTGAGAGCAAGAGCTGAACCCGTGGAAACAGTGTCAAAACATATGTCATGATTTGGGCTCATCTGAGAATCTTGCACCCACATTGAAGACAGCCTAGACTCTGTCATCCCTTTGTTATTTATCCACAAGCCTTAATGATTTCATTCAGCCTCAATTAGTCTGCCCTATCTTGGTCATAAGCGCAGAACCAATAAGTGAATGTATTTTACTTTAAGAGCTATCAGTATTGGATGCATGGCTATCCAGTAAATTTCTAATTTCATTTTGAATTCCCAATAAAGGAGTTCTGGAAACAACTGAAAATTTGGTTTAAGCTAAATTACTTCTCTCTGGCAGTGTGTACCACCTAAATTTTGTAGCTGAACTTGAACTTGAGAAGGATCCAGAGGCTACGTTCTGAGGTAAATAACTTTTTCCATTTTTCTTTTCCTTTCTTTTTTCTTTCTTTTTTGGATTTTTGAGACAGGGTTTCTCTGTGTAACAGCTCTAGTTATCCTGGAACTAGTTCTGGTTCTGTAGATTAGACCGGCCTCAAACTCACAGAGATCTGCCTTCTGAGTGCTGGGTTTAAAGGTGTGTGCCACCACTGCCTGGTGCCTTTATCCATTTTTATCAGCTCTTTGATTATGTATAATTTTAGTAGAATTATAGTAATAAGTTTTATATTGGTATCAACCAAGTGAAGATCAGCAAGTCAATCGGCCTCTGAATTTCTAGCCTTATGATTCTCAAATGTGTCAGTTCTGTCTTCAATTATTTCATGTGGATTACATGACTGAAGTGATGTTTTAGGATAAGTCATAAGACAGGGCATGTTTTTCATTATGGAACATTAAGTCAATAAAAAATAATTTTAAAAGAGTATAGAAAGATAGAGCATGGCTGGAGTGATGGATCAGTGGGGAGGAACGTTGCTCTTCCAGATGATCTGGGTTCTATTCCCAGCACCTACATGACTGCTTACAATGGCCTGTGGCTCCCATTCCAGGGGATCAAACACCTCTTCTGGCCTCCGTGGGCACCAGGCACATATGCAATGTACAGACATACATGAGAGTAAATTATTCATATACATAATTTTTAAATATAAGCTAGTCCCAAAGGCTAAAACAGGATTAAAACTGGGACTAATAATAGAAAAAACTAGAACAATGGATTAAAATACGAGATAAAATATTTAAGGAAAGCAATAGGACAGGACATCAATAGTAGTAATGAGATCTGTAAATGTAGTATAAAGAAAGAAAGATCAGGAGAGGGAATGTTTAGAAGAAAAAGAAATTTCATTCCAAGGGTTAGTGAGACTAGACACCGAGCAATGAAGAGCAGCCTGGGAAAGATTCCACTATATCAAAGTTCTTAGATTTAAGAAAGAACAAAACAGTGTCACTCAGAGAGAAAATGAATTAACTTTCCCATAAGGAGTAAATAAGAAGGTTATTAGCCTGAATTCTTAAAAGATTGGGCAGTGAGATTTTGTGTGTGTGTGTGTGTGTGTGTGTGTGTGTGTGTTCCTAATGGGCACAAGAAACCCTTAATCTGTTTATTTATCAAGGTGAGCTATTCTATCATCCATCTACTTTAACATACTTAAGAGAAATGAAATTATACATAGTGTGTTTGTCAGATCATAATGGGGTAACAACGGAGATCTTTTATAGAAAGATATTAAAAGCAAAATTTTGGCAACAAAGCATCATGTGTCATAAGTGAGGGCACAGATTAGAAACTAGTTCTACTGGCTGGGTTAGTCTGCAACCAATATCAGCCTACAGCCAGATCCTCCCGCCCCCAGTGCCCGGATCCCTGTTCCTGCAGCTCCGGATTGGGTCTTGGCACAGCCAGACACCCTCACTCTTTCTCACCTGCTGAACTGCCAGATGCGACTGTTCCAAATCCAACTGGAGCAAGTTTCCCTCAAAGGGCAGGCGCCAGGGCCCTGGAGGGCAGTTCTTGGGGCGCCTGTTTATTAGGAAGTTGGTCAGGAGCAGGAAAGTGACAGCAGCCAGCAGCAGAGTCCTAGGATGGAGCGCTGCCCAGATGGCGGCCACCAGGGAGCCCTCAGTGACAAACATGACAAGAGCTGGGGCCGGTTCCCTGGGTCTCTGCCTGGTGCTGAAGGCAGAGACAGTCCCTCTGCTAAGTTCCACCCTGCTTCTTGCAAACCACGCCCTCTCAGTCCTACCAGAACCCTGCCCTGTGCGTTGTTCCTGCCCTCTCCACTGGCCCCGCCCCATCTCTCTGTTTTGCCTGGGAGCCAGTACCCTGTTCATCAGTCCTGGTTAATGCTGCAGGCTTCCACAGAGGCCTCTGACACTCTGCGCTTTTACGCAGTCCACGCCCTCCTAATCCTTGCCTTGGCTCTCTTTCCTTTGCCCCATCTCCCAAGTCCTGCTTACCTGCAGGTACTCAACCTCCACCCCTAGGTGCCAGGCACTGTATTCCCAGCACTGGTCCCCAATGGAATTTAAAAGGGTTGCCTAAGAGTGGTTGCTATTTCAGAAATTTGTTTTTCTGAAGCCTTTGTGTGGCTCTGGGAATAGTGATTTACATCCCAGCAGACTCCTGGTTTATAAAGGAGCTTTCCCCAGAGCTGGCAACCTTCCTGAGAGGAAGACTCCTATAGACAGCACCCCTGACAGTATGCCCGGGGCCTCTATCACTGAGCTCTCCGCCCCCTCTTTTCTTCCTTCGGTCTTTTTTATACATACTTTTCACACATTTAAACTATTTTAGCTTATTTGAGAATTCCAGACAATATATTTTAATCATATGCTTTTTCCTCCCCCAACTCCTTCCTGATTTCACCTACCTCCCCACCTGAACTTCATGGGCTTTCTCTTTAAAACAAAACATAAATTTTAAAACAAAATGGTGTGTGTGTGTGTGTGTGTGTGTGTGTGTGTGTGTTAGATGTTAGGCACCTAGAGGAAAGGTGGCAGCTTTGGGAGAGTCCCTGACACTAACTGTTCAGCCTGTGAGAGTTTTGTAGAATTATCTGTGTCACCGACAGCCTGGCAAGGTTCTGAAGAGAGCAGTCAGTACCCACCAGCAAAGAGAGTCCATTCTTTTTATTATGATGATTATTATTAGTTTTATTGAGCTCTACATTTTTTTTCCTGCTCCCCTCCCTTCCTCACCCCTTCCCTTCAACCCTCTCCCATGGTCCCCATGCTCCCAGTTTACTCAGGAGATCTTGTCTTTTTCCCATGTAGATCAGATCCATGTATGTCTGTCTCCCTTAGGGTCCTCACTGTTGTCTAGGTTCTCTGGGATTGTGAATTTAGACTGACTTTTCTTTGCTTTATGTCTAAAAGCCAATTATGAGTGAGTACATGTGATAATAGTCTTTCTGGGCCTGGGTCTTAAGAGAGCAGTCAGTACCCTCCAACAAAGAGCAGTCCATTCTTAAAGGTTCTGATAAGCTTGGAGGTTCTACGTCAGGAGGCAAAATAATTAAAAAGTGGTGGATGTTCCATGCCTCTGGCCCCTTACACAGAGAAAGAAGAGCAATTTGGTCATTCATGAGAGCTATGAGGAGAGAAAGGCTGTTTCAGCAAGGGATCCAACATTTCTATTTACTTACTTACTTACTTATTATTTTGAGACAGGGCTTCACTAACTGGTGATGGTTGCCCTGAAACTACAATGTTGGCCAGCTTCCCCTCAAACTCACAGAGATCCACCTGCCTTTTGCCTTCCCAGTGCTGGAATTAAAGGTGTGCACCACACGTCAGGCTGCTGGTCTCACCTTTAAGCAGCATCTTATCAGAGGAGAGAGATTGTGTGTGTGTGTGGGGGGGAGGGATGGCCAGATTTCTCAGACTGCAGCAGCTGTCACATAGCAGAGAGAGGTCACTACTGGGAAGATTCTCAAGCAATCCCCTCCCCATGAACTGTACTGTACAGTTATGAAGGTGAGGAAAGGTGTTTATTTAGAGCTGTACGGGTTTTTAAAATCTTGTTTTCATAATCGTTCTCAAGTTGAGAGCATTAATGTTAATTTGTGTGTTTGTAGTCCTTTTTCCCAATACCATGAAGACTCAAATATATATTCTGAAAGGAAAGACCCTGCAACTTCTCATATTCACCACTGTATCTATATATAATAAATTATTGATAAATAATAACAAAAATTGAATATAATGTCATGATTGTTGATTTCAAGGTCCAGTTCCATCTACCCTTACCAAGTAGAGGAAATGATTCTTATTATTTGGCTTCTGTGTGAGTATATATGGGTGTTAGGAAAGCAATATAATTTTACCAAATAAGAAACTACTATGAATTTCAGTTCACAGGAGGGGAAGACATTTTTACCAACTGCCATCTGAAAGAGGGCTAATATCCAAAATACATAAATAACTCAAGAAACCTGATAGATACTTTGCTGAGCCTTGATGCAGAGAGACAGGCTTGGTCCTGCCTCATCTTGGTATGCTAGACTTTGTTGATTCCCCAAGGGAGACCTTACACCATCTGAGGAGTGGATGGGGGCAGTGGGATGAGAAGGAAGGAGGAGAGGAAGAGGAAACTAGGGTTGGTATGCAAAATGAAAAAAATAATTTAAAAAATCCCCCAAACCAAATAACTCAATTAAAAAATGAGGTGCATATCTAAACAGATGTCTCAATGGAGAGCACTCAAATGGCTAAGAAAGGCCTAAAGAATTGTTCAGCAACTTTAGCCATCAGTGAAATGCAAATCAGAACTACTTTGAGATTCCTTCTTATACCTTTCAGGATAGTTAAGATCAATACAACAAATGACAGCTCATTTACATCTCTCTCTCTCTTTTAAAATTCTATTAGATTTTTTATGTATATGAGTGTCTTTCTGGCACACATATCTGTGTACCATATGTGTATCTGATGCCCTCTGAGTTCAGAAGAGGTCTGCTCAAATTGGAGTTAAGAACACTTGTGAGCTGCTGTATGGGTGCTGGGAATTGAACCCAGGTTGTCAAGAACAGGTGCCCTTAAATGCTGAGCCATCTCTCCAAGTACAGCCATTTCTTCAGGTGCCCCTCCAATCTCTTTAGAACAGGGATGTGAATCTCCTTCATTGGGTAAAATGGTTCCATGTACTATTCAGACTTCAGAATGCCAAGCTTCGGCGGCGTAATAACCAGGCTAGTTTAATATGAAACAGTAAATTTTAATGAAGGGATATCTTACAACACCAGCGATCCAGCGAAGAGCAGGAAATACAAAAAAAGAGACCAGGTGGGGCTTATGCTCACCAGATTTATATGTAAATATTAGCCTGAGGCGAACATGCCCCCTAATGGGCTGGGCTTATCCCTACATCTCCCCCTTTTGTCTAAATAAGACAGAATTAAACCAAATACAATTATATACAATAATAACAAATAATAAATATAACAAACAATATTGAGAACAAAAGTTTTATTAAACATTTTATCTCAAGGAATCTAAATAATGTAGAGAGTAACTACATTATTTGGAGTGAGGTGGTGATGCTGTGTAGCATTTTCTTCCAAAATGACAAAACCATTTCAGTGACAAGACAGAGCAGCTGTGATCACCTGCTTGATATCTTTGAAGCATGGAACCTACTGACATTGCCTCATGGAGAGATAAGAAAGGTTCATGATGTTGATAAGGCCCCTTGCAAAGGTTACATGGATGGTAGACAATTACTAGGTGGTGGGAAGGGAAGGAGACTGTTCATTTGTTCAGCTGCCTGAGAATCAGTAGGAAATTTGTTGCTGAGAAGCTGTCCTTGGAACATACATGGTCTTGTAAGTACCACCAAGAAATTTATTGGTTCATCAACCTGTATCCATTTTCTGTGACCTATTGGTACCCTCCGAGTCTGAGCTGAATAGACATAGTTTCTTATGGTTCCTCATAAACTTCAGGAGACAGGTATAGTAGGAATGCATCAACCTTTGTTTCACTCCTTATTGAGTCCTGTGTCCTCAAATGTATTACAGGGGCAACATTTCATACATCCGAATCTTCTTCATTCATGAGATTGTGAAATTTCTGCTCACACACCACATTTTAGAGGAGAGAAACAGAAGCTTGCAAATTTAAACATCTTCTTGAATTCACATAACCCACGCGGTGCTTCACACAAATGTTCCTCATGTTTCTTCTTTGATTCTTCACACAAAATTTGGATCATTCAGTTTAAGTGAACACAAGAGGACAAAGGATGGACCGTAGGAGTAGAGCTCTGGAGTTTTCTGTTGTGACTGAGATGCCTCTTTTCAGAGGAATCAGTCTTTACCAGGCTAGACCTCACCTCAGGTCTGTCATATCCGGGACATCCCAATGGTTCATGTAGTCCAGCTATGTAATCAGACATACTTTTTTCAAACTCAGGGCATTGCACGTGCCTTTCTCTGTCTCTGGAGATGTCATAGCTCCTTATTTATTTTAAATTTTTGTTGCAGCATGCCTGTGTCTAAGTTTCTTTGGAGGAAAAAGGAAGAGGATCCATAGCTGGAGATCCCATTTGGAAAACACCCAGCTTTATTATCACAGGCCTTGTAGAACAAATGCCGGGAAGAAATGAGGAGGTGAAGGGTATTGGAACTGCAAAAGCAAGAGAGAAATTATCCTTAAAAAGTTCATTAACGAGTCTGTGGTGTCATTCTTGAAGGGGAATGAACCTGTTCTTCCTTCCTTCCTTCCTTCCTTTCTTTCTTCCTTTCTTTCTTCTGCATTTTCAGCAAACTTTCAGAAAATAAGGAACATGCTTTATAGATAAAAATTTTCAGTAGATACCACAGTCACTCCCAAAATTTCTAGTTCATTATGGTAACATAGAACTTGGTCCTGAGACCCTGTGCCTTCAGAGCTCAGATTGAGATACCAATATTTCTGTGTTTCATTAAATATTACTGTACTTTGTGTGTTCAGGTCAAGTGGAACCCTTCTAAGTTACTCTGTGCCATGTAAAACATGCTATTTTAGAATACACTTTGACTTGAGAGACTGCATTTCACAAGCAGATTTTGACTCCTTGCTTATTATAGCTGCCAATGTCTTATAGTTTAAAATATTCTATCACAGTGTATAAAGCAAGATACAGGACAAGGGACCCAAAACTGTATAAAACGTTCAGTCTTGTGTGTGTGTGTGTGTGTG